CTACCATAGTAATCGGCGATAAAGTTCCAATATCCAATCCAACATGTACGGCGAGATACTCAGATGATGGATTCGGAATTTGGACAACTACCGAACCATCAACAGCACTCCATGCTGAGACGGTGCGAGCCACGACTAAACGCTCAAATTCGGGCGGAACAGTATGGAACGAAAGTTCATCTGCCGACAAAATACGCGGCTCGACTACTACGTACGGCGGTATCAACGGACGGTATGCGTTCAGTAAATGCTTTTATGATCATCGCATCACGAGGGCGAATATTGTAACGTTGACGTAATTTGACTGAGTGTTCTTCCGCATTCGATGAACGGCTGCAACACGGGGGGACGGCGACGGATCAGAACCGTGTTGAGATTTTTTACGATGAATAGCGGGGACAATAGTGTCACTACACTCAAAAGCCAAATGTTCATTTTTCTAGTCAAGTACTGCCCCAAACCGAGTCATTGCATCATTGTCTAGGAGTATCTGATCAGGACCGAGCGATGGTACGACCAACGCATCGATTCGGCGGGACACGTCTCCCAACCGAACAACGAACGAAATAAATCCTAAAACTTTGACTGGTGCACCATTTGCGGCACTGAGTTTTAGGGACGGAGACGGTATTGGCTCTAAACGAGCAAACGATAACGATGGGTGCTCTTTCAAAAACGAAAGTGAAATGCACGTGACGTCACTTGCAGTATCAATGGTGGTTTCAGGGAGAAATTGACCATCGATATATCCAGAAGCACGAACGCGTTTGGATGAAAAAGACAGAGACAGAGACGTTTTTTTTCGGGCCAGCGCTGAGCTGTACCACGAAACACGTTGATTAATTCCATCCGACTTCCTCTTCCTCTTCTTAAGCTCCGATTTTTTTTTCGGCAAGGCAACAATCCTGTCGGCCCTTGTTTTCTTGGCACTCTGACGGTCACGCGATGCCACAGGGGACTCTCTATCAACCACGTCTAAATCGGCTGCGTTAACTGAACGCTCTAACTTTCTAGCGGCTGCGGTAGACGAACGCTTTAACCGTTTATGTGGTTGTTCTACGACAGGGGACGCATGTGCCTTATTTACAAGTCGTTTTGTACTCTTCGGACACGATCTATAACTTGGAGTACTAGACGACATAGACGAACGCGCGAGTGACGCAAAATGATCAAAATATCTTTTCACGCCCCTACTGCAAACTACTACGGCAGCAGCAGATTTCTTCCCAAGTATTGCGGGCACAACACCTGGGCACCCCTATTCGGAGTCCGAGGAATCGTCCTTCTGCTTTCGCCGACGATCTTTACGGGACCGCTTCGATGCGGAACGACCCTGACGCTCTCGATCGGGTGAGTCTTGTGCGACCGACAGGAGGGGTGGGTGCACGGATCGAACGACGGCCGCCGCTGACCACCCCCTCTACCCGAACCTCGGCAACGAGCCGCGGGCGTTCCCCGGTGTTGTGTCGGCGGACGCNCTCTTCTTCCTCCGCGATCCTCACCCAGCAGCGCTCGATCGGGTGAGTCTTGTGCGACCGACAGGAGGGGTGGGTGCACGAATCGAACGACGGCCGACGCTGACCACCTCCTCTACCCGAACCTCGGCCACGAGCTGCGGGCGTTCCTCGGTGTTGTGTCGGCGGACGTGCGGTGGGTGACTTCCTGAAAGTCACCGTCTGCTTAGGACGCGCCTGAAACACCGCCGCGGGACGAGTGGAGGTAGACGATACGGAGTGAGTTGCCGAAACAGTGATAACGGGTTCCGACTCCTCGAGACGACGCGCTCGATCAATGGCCTCTTTGAGCGACCGTACGGGGGTGTATCGCCGTTGAAGTTTACGAACTTCGGGGGTCAACCCATTTTCCCACAGCNCGGTGGGTGACTTCCTGAAAGTCACCGTCTGCTTAGGACGCGCCTGAAACCCCGCCGCGGGACGAGCGGAGGTAGACGATACGGAGTGAGTTGCCGAAACAGTGATAACGGGTTCCGACTCCTCGAGACGACGCGCTCGATCAATGGCCTCTTTGAGCGACTTTACGGGGGTGTATC